CAGCATTCAGAACGCACAAAGAAAAAGGCGGGAAAATTAGAAACGCCCCCTTTGCACCTGCAGCAACCAATCACAGTGCAGCTTGCCTCACGCAGGAGCCTGCACTCTCCAACCAATCAACTGCAACTCTGCGTTTGGGCCTGTTGCACCCTTTACATTGTACCCAGCTACTCAGTATAGTATCCTGTGAAGGCTTCTCCTCCCGGGCCTTATGGACTACGGGGCCCGCCCCATAGACTTCCAGGGGGAATGTCACCTCCCAGCCCAGCTGCCATTTTCTTCCTGGCAGGCAAGGCCAGCCCAGGTCTTCCTTGAGCAATGCCTATCCTGCCCCTTTTACCCTGCAGTTTGTGGCCTTCTGCTCCAAGCACACCGAGGACCACCCCGAGGTCATTTCCTACCTGTCTGGCCGCCACCAGAAGACCAGTCCGGAGTACCTGGCATCCGTGGAGTTCCGCAACGTCCTGAGCCGCTGCCTGACGCGGGTGCAAGCCAGGAGAAACAAAATCTACGTTTACATTAGTGAACTCTGCACTACCTTCCGGGCCCATTCGCAGAGGAAAAGGGCTGCGGCCCCCGGCCCCACAGACTCCCAGGATGCCCCGGCTGCCGTCACATCCCAGACACCCTCTGAGCCCGCCAAGCCCTGTGTGGGCTCGAAGCGGCAGATCCGCTACCTGGAGAACCTGCTGCGGGTTTACGCTAACGAGATCCAGCGGCTGCAGGAGCAGGAACTGGACTTGGCGGAGCTGGACAGCCAGGATTCAGCCTACCTGCAGGAGAGCCGCCTCAAGCGCCGGCTGATGCACGTCTTCAAGCGCCTCTGCCAGCTGAAGGACTGCAGCAGCCTGACTGGCCGCGTCATAGAGCAGCGCATCCCCTACCGCGGGACCCGCTACCCGGAGGTCAACCGGCGCATCGAGCGGCTGATCAACCAGCCAGAGGCCTTCCCGGACTTCGCCGACATCCTCAAGGTGGTGCAAAAGGCCAGCGCCCGTCACAGCCTGGGGCTGCCCAAGCGCCAGATGGAGGTCATGGCAGCTGACGCCTTCCGTGATGTGGGCGCTCAGCTGCAACAGCGGCGTCGCCTCGACCTGGTGTACAACTTCGGCAGTCATCTCACCGATCAGTATCGGCCTAGTGAGTGCTGTCCAGGGCCCGAGGGGAGACTTTATGGCCCCTGCTTCCACCCGGGGGAGGTGGAGGCTTGGAATGACCCCATTGTCACCCCCAAATTCAACCCAAGAAGATCTGTTTTGGTGCCTGGCTATGCCAGTTCCAGTCTTGCTTAGGGCAATCCTCGGGGCCACCAGCTGGGGGCGCAAAGGAGGCACCCAACTGTTCTTCTTATTTCTAGTTCCTTTGTCTGTCAGGAAGGGGAAAAGGGCTCCCCACCAGGGGCTCCTGCAGGTCCTGCCTAAACCTCTTTTCCGGGCTTACCTGCCCTGCCGAAAAGAGGGCATGAGAGGGCTGGACGAGCACCTCAGATTCGTTCAGGTTAAGGCAAGCCAGGCAGGGCAGCCTACCCTCGGCTGACAGTCTTGGGCAAGGGGGCCCACGATCCTTGCCCCACAGAGGTTGGGGCCAGGGAACTCACATACCTGCCTCTCTCTTAGAACCTGCCCCCCCCCCACATTGCCCATCTTGTCCGGGGGGTGGGGGGATATCTTTCAGTGCCCATGTTTTTCTGCTGCTGCCGCCTTCTCTGCTCACGGCTGCCTTGCTGGATGGATTCTTGAACCGAGCAGCCAGCTGGATTAGGGAGGCTCCTGGCAAATATTGTCACCCAGCAGGAAAGGGAGGACTGGGGAGGGGGTACAATGGTGCTGTGCTTCATCATCTCGGGGCTTCTGGCAAGAATCCCAGGTGGGGACTTTGAGGCTGTCTAAAATTGGGGGTGGGGGGAGGTAGCCATCTGTGCCCTACCAAAGTACCCAGGCTATGGGGCGGCTGGGCTGAAGCTGGGATAAACATCAGTGGCAGAGAGCAGGCAGGAGCTCGTCAGCTGAGGGAAGGCCACTCTTCCGGCCTTCCTTTCCTTGGGCATAGCCCCTCCTCGGAAGGAAATGCCAGAGGTGTCTCCAGGGCCAGTCTTCCGGGGGGGGGGCGTTGACCCCCAATTTTCCATGGAGGGGAGCACATTGCCTCGGGGGGGGGCAGGGGGGCAGGCAGACTTCCCTCAGCTCGTACCCTTCTCCTGCCTGGCAGATACTGACCCAGCCCTGGGAGATGTGGAGTTAGCCCGGCACCTGCAACGCAACCAGGCGCTGGGTGTGCAGCGCCTGGAGGAGGTGATCACCCAGTTCGCTCAGCTGCAGGACAAGAGCGAGGAGCAGCAGCAGGGGGAGAAGCCCCCCAGGCAGGACGGCGGAGAGACCCAACCCAGCAGAGCCGTGGAGGGGGAGCCGGCCTCCCCGAAGGAGTCCGTCTCGGGCACAGCCGCCAAAGAGGTAAGGGGAGGCCAAGGGCCGTGGAGTCCTCTCCGGCCCCCGTGGGTACCTGGAGGTGGGAGCATCCAGAGGGCCAGGCAGCTCATTGTGGGGGTTGTGGGATGGGTGGGGGAACCTAGCCTCCCGCCTTTGAGCGGCCAGCAGAGCTCACCAGAGGCCTTTCCATCTCTGAAGTTCTGCTGGGGCACGTGGTCAAATCAATGGGGAGCCACGGAGCTGAGGGAGGACAGTTGGGTCCAGCCCAGTATCCCTTCAGCTAAGGGCACACTCACAAAATGGCTGCAAAGGCCACACCCACTCCAACGAGGGCAGAGAGGGTATGTGTTAGACCTGCCCCGGGTAGGTTCCTTCCGAAAGAAAGACCCTCGACTCCCTTTGGCTGAAGTGATTTGGTTTTTTCCCCCTAAAGGATGCCGGCTGCAGCAAAGTCAGGCTAGAACTAGGTTTCCCCCCCAATCCAGCCCTCCTCTCCCCCCCTCTTCCCCTCCCCCATTGACCAGTCGGGCTTCAGCCAGTGAAGATCCTCCTGGGTGTTTTGAAAACGCTGAGATGTTTGGGGCAATCCCCATTCTTTCATGGGCACCAACTCATTTCCCATCACATACCCCAGTGTTTCCCAAACTTGACCCTTTGAAGATGTATGGACTTCCACTCCCAGAATTCCTCAACCAGGCATAATGGTTGGGGAATTCTGGGAATTGAAGTCCATGCATCTTAAAATAGCCAAGTTTGGGCAACACTGACATACCCCTACCGGTTTATTGCCCATTTCTTGCCCCACAAGCCCCCCCTCGCAGCCTTTGATGGCAGGAGGCCAGAGAAGAGGGCGAGGCTGGCTCTTCCCAGACCCCCCTGGCTTCCCGATTCGGCTAACGGATCCAGCCCTTGCCGGGGGGGGGAGGGTTCCTCTGGCCACAGTGTGTGTGGGGGGGGGGTCCAGAGTCAATGGAGCCCCACCCCACCCATACACCCGGCCTTTGCACCAGGACAGCGCAGGCCCCAAGGAGAGCAGTCAAAAAAAGGGATCGTGGGAGGAAGAGGAGGAAGAGGAAGACGAGGAGGAAGAAGAGGAAGACTCGGACTCTGAGTCGGACCTGGAGGCAGAGCTGGCCCACTGCCTGGATGGTGGAGAGGAGGAGGAAGAGGAGGAGGAAGAGGAGGCGGCAGCGGCTGCAGGTACCTTGGGTGGGTGGCTAAAATGGCACAAGGAAGCCCCTCTCCCCTCACAGGCTCCGGCCTTTTCCCCTGAAGGTGCTCATTCTTGTGGTAATGAGTTCTGCAGGGTCAATCTGCATTAACAGCCTTGGGGGGGGGGAGACTCCTGCTGGGCTGTGATCACCCCTCTGCCCACTTCCTGACATCTAGGAATCTTCCCCCCCCAAAAAAAAATTCTCCTCTGTTTTGTTGCCTTTTTTCCCACCCCACTTCCCCACATTGGGGGGGGGAGGGAAGAGTGCTCATGTCAGGGAGTTGACCTTGGCCGACCTCCCCCCCCCCGCCCAGGCAAGGACCCCCCTGCTCTGGACGCAGACGCTGACCAGCAGATGCACCCGGGGGTGCCCGAGGTGGTCCTGTTCTCCGCAGAGGAGGAGGAGGAAGAGGAGGAAGAGGATGGTCTCCCGGCCTCCAGGGACTCTCCTCCCCAGCAGTTGCTCATGCAGATGGAGGAGGAGGAAGAGGAGGAGGAGGAAGAGGGGGAGCCCAGCCCAGCCCCCTTGCTTCAGCAGGAGCAGGACAGGGGCCCCCTGCTCCCCAAGCGCAGCCACTCCCTGGAGAACGGGGAGCTCAACGGGCAGCCGCCCAGCAAGAGGAGCCGTGCTTGGGGGCAGCCCCCCGTTTCCAGCAGGTAACGGGCTCGAGGGGGTGGGGAGGGGCTGAGGGGAGCTGCCATGCGCCCCCCCCCCTCCGACGATGGCTTCTCTCCCCAGCAGCATCAGCAGCAGGGACGGCTGCATCAAGGTGCCCAGCTCTGGCGAGGAGGAAGAGGAGGAGGAGTGGCTGCCCCCCCAGAGCCCGGCCCCCATGGCTGACTCCACCCGGCCCGACTCTCCTGGCCTCGGCCTGGTCTCCAGCAGCCAGGGCAGCCCCCGGCCCCGGGCCCCACAGCAGCAGCCGCCGCCACCGGAGCACCTCCTCACCAGGGTGGGTGCCTGGGGGCAGGTGGACGGGGGGGGGGCTGCAGGTGGGGGAGCAGCTTCCCCTCCCTCGGAGGTTGGAAAGGGGAGGGGCGCCTGGGAGGGCCCACTGACGTCTCTCCCCCTCTTCCCCCCCCCCTCCAGACCAGCGTGGCCACCCAGTGCGATCCGGAGGAGATCATCGTCCTCTCCGACTCAGAGTAGCCGCGGCCGGACAGCGGACTTCTCTTCGAGGGGGGGGAGGGGGGAGGGGCGGGGAGGGGATTGAGAATAAAAAGGACTATTTTTCTGCACGGAACCCGCCTGGGCTCTTCTTCCACGCGGCGCTGGGGGGGGGGGCGGGGGCGAAGGGGGGGAGGAGCGAGGACTCTCTTTTCCCCCTCCCCGTCTGGGCGGGGCGGCGCGTGCGCAGGGCTCGTGGGGCCGGGGCGGGCGGGCGGCGCGGACCCCCGCGGGCGGCATGGCGGAGGCGGCGGCGGCGGCGGCGGTGCAGGTGGCCTTCCCGGAGGCGACGCGCGCCCTGCTGGAGGCGCTGAACCAGCAGCGGGTGGAGGGGCAGCTGTGCGACCTGGCCATCCACGTGCAGGGCCGCGTCTTCCGCGCGCACCGGGCGGTGCTGGCCGCCTGCTCGCCCTACTTCCACGACCAGGTGCTGCTGAAGAACATGAGCTCGGTGGAGCTGCCCAGCGTCATGGACCCGGCCGCCTTCGAGCTGGTGCTGGGCTCGGCCTACACGGGGCGGCTGCGCATGGCCCGCGACGACCTGGTCAACTTCCTGACGGTGGGCAGCGTCCTGCAGATGTGGCACATCGTGGACAAGTGCACGGAGCTGCTCAAGGAGCGCCAGCGCCGCCCCGACCTCGCCCAGGACGCCGCCGCCTCCTCCTCCTCCTCCGGCTGCTGCTCCGGAGGGCACGGCGGCGGCGGCGGCGGCGGCGGGGAGAGCCAGTCGCCCAGCAGCAGCAGCTACTTCAGCCCCCGCCGAGACGGCGCCGGGCCCCGCGTGGGAGGAAGCGGCGGCGATCGGGACGAGGAGGGGCTCCGCCGGGCCGCCCCACGGCGCCTTCGCCCGCCCGACCCCTTCGCCCGCAGGGGCGCGCCCGAGCCGGACGACGACGCGGCCAGCGACGGCAGCGGGGAGCCCGGCAGCAGCGAGGCCCGCCGGCCGGCCTACGTGCGGCCCAGCATCGTCCCGCAGCGGCAGTGGATGCCGGTGAAGAAGGAGCGCGGCGGGCGGGGCGGCGCGGGGGAGGAGGAGGAGGAGGAGGAGGAGGAAGGCCTGGTGCTGACCTGCGAGGAGGACGAGGAGCCGGCCGAGCCCGCCGCCCTGAGCATCAGCGACGTCCGGACGCTAAGCGAGGCGGCGCCGCCGGAGGAGCAGGTGAACTTCTGCGAGTCCTCCCAGGACGTGGCCTTCCCCGCGCCGCCCCCGCAGCCGCCGCCCCCGCGGGCCCTCCTGCCGCTGGACCTGCAGGGCAGCCCGCTGCTGCTCTTCCCGGCGGGGGCGGCGGGGCCGTCGGGGCCGCCGTCGGTGGAGCACGGGGCGGTGCAGCTGTCGGGGGGCTCCGGGGAGGGCAACAAGATCTTCCTGTGCCACTGCGGGAAGGCCTTCTCCCACAAGAGCATGCGCGACCGGCACGTCAACATGCACCTCAACCTGCGGCCCTTCGACTGCCCCGTCTGCAACAAGAAGTTCAAGATGAAGCACCACCTGACGGAGCACATGAAGACCCACACGGGCCTCAAGCCCTACCAGTGCCACGTCTGCGCCAAGAAGTTCATGTGGAGGGACAGCTTCATGCGCCACAAGGGCCACTGCGAGAGGCGCCACCGCCTGGGCGGAGGGGGGGCCCCCTCGGGCGCACCCGCCATGCCCGCCAAGAGGGAGGCGTCGCCGTCTCGCGTCCCCGGGGAGGCCGAGTGGGCTGCCGGAAGGTCCCCCCGCAGCGAACTGGGCTTTGCGGGCAGCAGCAAGATGTGAGCTGTGGAACTGGCGCCCTCCCTGCGAGGAAGGCCGTTCTGGTGCTCGGATGAGCCTCCTTCCTTCCCCTTTCACTGAGACTGCCGTGGGCTGCCCTTCCCTGGATGGGGCCTGCCGCTTCTCCTCCGGGTCTCTTTTCTGCAGGGGGGGGGCTGCGAAGGGCTCCCATCTCCCCTCTGAGGAAGCCCCCCCCCCGCTTTCGCCTGTCTTCCCATCATGCAATGGGCCCAACCCTGGGAGGGGGTCTTTTGCAGCTCTTGCCTAAAATCATCTTTTGGGAGAAGAAGGTGATGCTAAATGCCCTCCTGGCCCATTTGTAGTGGGGGGGGTTATTTCTTGGATGTAACAGCCGCCTACTCTTCCCCCCTCTGTGTGCGTGTCTGTCTCGGGGTGCAGACTTTTGGGGAAGAGCCCCTACTTTCCCCATGAAGAGGTCTTGCGAGGGACAGTTCTGAGATGGCTGGATGCCCGACTGTATGTCCAGAGAAGATCACACCAGTCACTCTAGACACATACGCACGCACACACCGAAAAAGCTGGACTCTGCTCTGGTCCCAGCCTGGAAGACAAGAAGCCCCCCCTTCCCCCACAGGTTTCCCCCCTCTCTTCTCCCCCCTCCCCTTGGTTCTTTCTGTCGAGATGATAAACGTCCTTCAATTTGGTTTTGGCCTTTTCTGAATGAAAGCCACAAATTCTCTATAAATATTTATTGCTGTGTAAGCCCCCACCTGGCTTGGATTTTTGCTGGTGCTGTCCTGGGGCTGAGGAGAGGTGGGGGAGCTGGTGTTTGTACGGAGGAACCCCGGGGGAGGGGCCCTTCTTGCCCCATCATTGCTGCCACCCCACCCCCACTCCAAGGACAATCTGCCTTAAATTTAAGCTGGATCCAGGGAATTGCCTGGTTGTGTCTGGCCTTGAAGCAGCTTCCCTTTAGGGACCTGAGCCTGCCTGCCCCCCCTCTTCTCTGCTGTGGGCAATGCAGAGCAGGTGGGGGAAAGGTTCCAGGTCCTGGGGGGTCCTTATATTGGGTGGTACAGCTAGCCCTCAATTAAAGAACCGTTCAAAATTACAAGGGCGGTGAAAAAAGTGACCTACGACCATTTTTCCCTCTTATGACCATTGCAGCATCCCCATGGCTATGTGGTCAAAATTCAGGCGCTTTGGTAACTGACCCATATTTGTGACGGTTGCCGTATCCTGTGGTCGCAGGATCCCCTTTTTCTACCTTCTGATCAATGGGGAAAGATTCTTTTTAACAATTGTGGTGAGAAAAGTTGTAACATGGGATAAAATTCACTTAACTGTCTCACTTAACGGCAGAAATTTTGGCCTCGGTTCTGGTTGTAAGTCAAAGGCTGTATAGTATCACCTGCCTTGAGCAGGGGTTGGACTAGAAGACCTCCAAGGTCCCTTCCAGCCCTGTGATCCTGTGTGGCTCCTCTTCTCTTCTAGGTCCTGTTCCCGCCAATCCCTGCCATGCCCGGGTGATCTCGAGGCGACTCCAGTCCTAATCCTGCCTCTTGAGCCTCTGGCCAGAGGGAAGGAGGCCCATCTCAAAGAAGGGGAGAGCAAGGGACGGGAAGGATGAATGTGGAAGGGGTACCCTCCCCCCCAAATGACTGATAAATAAAAGAGTTCGGCATGTGGCTTGGGACGTGGCTTTTCCTGCCGCTTTTGCAAGCTCTGCCCTGGCCCTGCTGGGATCCAGCTGTCGGAAGGGCCCTTTGGCGACCATTTTATTTGGGCCTCTGCTGGAGACCAAAGGGGCTTGCGGGGAGGGGGGAGAGGGCCCGTCTCTAGCACCCATCTTGCTCCCCCCAAAGAGGCCCATATTTCGGCAGATGCTCCCTTCGCCCTCAGTGGGGTCTTCCTTTGGGCCCACCTCCTCGCCCTCATGGTTGTGCTGAAGATTTCGGGGGAACGGGACCTTATAGCTGGTGTGAAGGTTTATATGCAGACATGGAGCCCAGGATGCCACTGTATCTGTGAGTCCCTTTTTGAACAGGTCTGTTTTCAACACCCCTGGAAACTTTCACAGACACACCCGCCCCAACACAAGGTCACTTCCAGGGAAGCGCATTCCCATCGTCCACGGGCAGCTCGCCCCTGCGCCTTCCAGCGGGCTTGGTTGACTTCCTAATAATTCTCGGGATCTCCTGCTGGTCCCCCATCCCGGGACTCGACTCTGGTGTGGCCTGGCTGCCCTTGTCTTCAGCCCAGCTGCAGCATGAAAGGTCCCACCTGGATGGGCAGAAGCCCCGTGGATGGATTTCTTCCAGAGCTCTGCGGAAGATCCACCAGGCTGGCTGGCGTGGAGCGGCCCCTCGGGAGACCCCCTCGACCTCGGAAAGGCCAGGCCCCCCTCCTGGTGTCCCCGGGTGAGGGGCGTCCCCACCGCTTCCTCCTGGAAAGGAGACTGCCTGGCGTCACTCGCCGCTCAGGTTCGCCTCCCTCCGCCGGGGAAGCACCGACCGAGCCTCTTGGCAGCCGCGTCCCGGGACGGAGAGGGGCGGGGGCGGCGAGGCCATTGGGCCTCCTCCCCTTCCTCCTCCGCCGAAAGTGAAAGCGGCTCCCGCCGAACAGATCGCGCAGCGTCGCTCTGCAGCTCCCGCTCCTCGCCTGCCCGTCCGCATGGCCGCCGCCTCCTTCGCGCCCGCCCGCGGTGAGCGGAGCCCCCTCCTCTTCCTCCTCCTCCTCCTCCTCGGTGAGTGCGGGCGGGGGGCCCGGGGGGAAGCGGGGATCCTGCGCCCCCGAGGGGACCCCAAGCCCGGCGAGCGGCCGGAGCCTCCCGGCGGAACCTTTCAACGGCCCGAAGCCCCGGCGACCCCCGTTGGCCGTCGGGCAGCGAGCCCAGCGAGGCTCCGGCCGCGGGGATTCCCGCTCGGGCGGGGCGTTCCGGCTCAGCGACTTGCTCTGCCCCGCAGGTGCGTCCCTGGGCGCCTCCTCGCCGCCGCCCTCGGCCGCCGCCAAGCTGGGCTGCTGGTTCGTGGAGGAGGCGGGCGGCGGCGGCCGCGGGGCCGGGTCGGTCATGCCCAGCGACCTGAGACACCGCCGCGCTCTGCTCGTCCTGCCGCCGCCCGGGCAGCGCCTCGCCGAAGCCGCCCTGGAGCCCGACCTGCCCGCCGAGGTGGAGCCCGGCCTGGCCTTCCAGCTGCTGGGTACGGAGCTGGAGCTGCGGGGGGGGCGGTTGGGGAGGGGGCGCCTGGCCTCCTCTGTGGGCAGGGAAGGGGCGGGCGGGGCCGCGGAGCTGAAAGCCTCCCTCCCTCCCTCTGCACAGACCCCTCCGGGACCCTCTGGAGCGGCAAGGAGGCCGGCGCCCGTCCCCGCTGGGAGGGGGCCGCTCTGTCCGGCCCCGGAGAGGCCGAGGTGGCCTGCGAGATCAACCCCTACCAGCCGCGGGAGGCCCACGTGCCCTGGGCCGCGGGGCTGGTGGGGCAGAAGGGCTGCCCCCGCTCGCTGGAGGGCCGCTGGGTCATCGCCACCATCCAGAACCCCGAGGTGGACTTTGGGGTCAGCAGCATCCTGCACCAGGAGGGGCCGTTGCCCGGGAAACCGGAGGCGAGCAGGGTCGCCGTGGCAACAGGTACACCTCCAGTTGGCGTGGGGGCGGTGTTGATTGGGGGGCGGAAGGGCTCCCTGGGGCGGCCCCTTCTGGGCTTAGCAGGGCCAGGGCTTCAGAGGAGGAGAATCCTGGACTGACTTGCAGTAGCCCCGATATAGAGGGGGGGGGAGCGGGAGCGGGATCCCTTCCCCAGCCAGCTGGGGAGGATGGGTGTTGACTCCAACGTATCCCGTGGATTGTGGTTGGCGGGAAAGATTTCAGTAAGGGGGGGCATCTTAGGTCCCCAACAAAGAGCCCCTTTCCCAGACTCCATTTAGAGGAATAAAGTGCACTTTTCCTTCAAGCAAACTTTCACATTCAGTTTTTGCTGCTGAGAATATGCTAAGGGAAACTCCCTCCCTCCTTCCCCTCCCTTTTCTTCTCTCCTCCCTCCCAGCTTTATTTAAGAGCGCAGGGCATAAAGGCAACAACATAGGTAAAGAAAGAGTGGCCAGAGTGGTTTATTTTATTTATTTATATTTAAATTTATATACCGTCCTTCTCCCGAAGGACTCGGGGCGGTGAACAGCCAAAAATAAAAAACATAGAATACAAAGTTTAAAAACAATTTAAAAATATATTAAACAATTTGGCCCAACAATTAAAATACCCCATTTAAAATTAAAATTAAACAATTGGAGAGTTAGGCCAGCCCGGATTGTTGAAATAAAAAAGTTGAGGGCCCGGTGGAAAGTCCATATCTGGGGGGGGGGGAGCTTGTTCCAGAGGGCAGGGGCTCCCACCGAGAAAGTTCCCCCCCTGGGGGCCGCCAGTCGACATTGTTTTCACCACAAAAGGAACGCACCTGTTGTTGCTGTGCTGTAATCTGATACCTTCTGCTGCTCTTTGCAGACATCTTGTCTGTTGCTCTGGTCCTTGCAACTGTCTCGCTTAGCAACAGAAATTTTGGGCTCAGTTGTCATCGTAAGTCGAGGACTACCTGTATTCTTTAAAACAATAAAGGCAGGATACCAATCAATAAATTCAGGAAGACATAAAACTAGCAAACAGTAAAGAATTGTAAAGCCTTAGAAGAAATTAAACGGAGATTTGAGATCAGTTGATGGGAAGTCTTAAGCCTGGGGGGGGGAGGAGGGGCTGGCTCTCAGGGGAGGGGCAGAGCTGGGCTACGTGTGGGTGGGGCTCGGCTGACCAGCCGGACTCAGCGCCTCACCCTCCTCCTCCTCCTCCTCTTCCTGCACAGCCGTCCTCTCGGTTTTCACCCGGACACCCCGGCTGGAGTCCCGCCTGGGGCAGGACGTGCTGCTGGACTGTGGCTTCTCAGCTCCGGCCACGGCCTTCTCGGTCGAGTGGCGCCACCAGCATGGCGGGGCCGGACAGGTGATCCTGGCCTACGACGGAGCTACCCAGCACATGGCCATGTCTGAGGAGGGGGCCCGGCTGTTTCTGGACCCCGGGAGCAGCAACGTCTCGCTGCAGTTGCAAGGCGCTCAGGTGCGCCACGAGGGAACCTACATCTGCTCCGTCTACCTGCCCCACCTGCAAGCCCAGCAGGCCGTGGAGCTCAAGATCGTGCGTGAGTGGCTCCCCTCTCCCCTTCGCCGGTTGGGGCTCCACCAACACCTCCCTCGTTTCCAGCGTCGCTTGTGGGGTAGCCGAGGGGGAATCCCCCCTGATGGTGGTGGGCTAGTCATACCGGAAGGCTTCTGCCACCTTCCCCAGATTCTGCCTGGGAGAAGCGGCCAGGCAGCTTGGCCCAGGCCCCGACTGAAGGTCAGGAACGCTCTTAGGTCAGCCTAAGGGTCTCCCCTCCTCTGCCCACGCAGGAGCCCAGGTCCTCCGTGGGTATTTGAAGCACTGAGGCCCCACTGAAGCAAAGGCTTCTCCAGGACAGGGGATCCTTCGGATGTGAAGCTGGCTTGGGTCCCTGGTAGCCGCAGACTGAGAATCCCGGCTGGGTTCAGGGACCGGGGTGGGGTGGGGGAGGCTTGAAGGGGCTGGAACAGAGCAGTAACTCTCAGCCTGGGACACTGAGCCTGTCACTCTCTTGAGCCAGCCTACCTCACAGGGTGGTGGTTCTGTGCTACGCCACGAATTGTACAATCGTCTAGCTGCTCTTTCTGAGTTACTTGGTGTTTCTCAGTTGTTTCTTCCTGGGAGGAAAAGTGGGGCCTTGAGCCTTGCATCCCCCCCCCCACCTGACACCTCTCTCTGCCCTCAGAGCCGCCCAAGGTCACCCTCCGCCCGGTCCCCTTCCCGGTGCCCCTCAACACCCACACGGACCTGGCTTGCGAGATCACCGGCTATTACCCCCAGAGCGTCTCCGTGGTCTGGAAGTGGCACAGTCCCGGCACCCCACAAAAGGTCCTCCTGGAAACGTGGGAATCAGGGCACCGGCAGGCGCCGGACGGCACCTACAGCTTCACCAGCTTTGCCCGCCTGCCAGCTGTCCAGCCAGGGGACCAGGGCGGCTCATACAGCTGCCACGTGAGTCACGTGGGGCTGAGCCAGGCGGGGCTCCAGAAGAGCCTGAAGCTGAATGTGGCAGGTAGGCACAGAGGAGGCTCCCGGCCGCATGTGGGGAGGAAGGGGAGGGGGGCTACCCAGGGCTGTGTGGAGGTGGAGGGCATCCCCTCTTGGGAGAAGAACGGAAGGGAAAACTGAAACTGTTGCAAGGAATCTGGAGGGGGTGCATGCCCCTACCCAGAGCGAGGGGGGACCCAGGAACAGACACACAGCTCTGGGGCCCACCGCCCCCAATCAGGAGGGACTCTGGAGCCACAGGTAGGAAATGTTGGTGTCCCCGCTCCCTCTTGCCACCAGAGGCAGGCCATGGATCTTGGGCACCCCCCCCCCAAACAATAGGGGTGCTACCATCGGTCTAGAGCCTGTAGGACGCAAAAAGAGCAGCGTTTGTGTGACCCCTGCTCTGCGGGGGGCCTTCTTTGTGGGGGGTGGTCAGTTCCTGCAGGCCCAACACTGGACTTCCAGGGGGGCTTAGGGTGCGGTCAGGCTGGGTGTGCAGGCAAGCCCCTTTGCACCCACGGCACAGCCCCCCCTCCCACGGGTCGTGGCCCGCCCGGAGAGCTGCTTCCCTTAAGAGAACATCTGGGCTGGCTGAAATGGGAGCCCCCTTTGTCTGGGAAGCATTGGTGGAAGGGGCGTCTAGGGAGCCCCCTAAAGGGCTGGGGGGGTGTCTTGATGTCCATTTCCGGGACTCCCCACCTGCCTTCCTTTCCAGGCTCCTCGGTCCCCTCCGTGGAGGACGTGATTGGCCTCTTCCTGGTCACCTTTGCGCTCCTGGGCTTCCTGCAGGTGCTTTCCCAGCGAGGTGAGTGAGCGGCTGCCTCCCGCCACCCCGGCCCCTTTGAAAGGCAGCCCCACATCGCCCCTCACCCATCGGCTTTCCCCCCGGCAGCCTCTGCAGAGAAGAAGGAGACGACCATGATGACGTCGGAGCCAAGCAACCAGAGTCCTCCGCCTGACCCCTCGCAGCCTGCTGCTCCTCCCCCCGAGAAGAACCAGGGGGGCAGCAAGAGGCGGCTCTCTGGACTCGGGTCCTCGTCGCCGGGCCCCACTCCGAAGTGAAAGGCCTCCTGCGTGGTGGAGCCTCACTCTGGATCCTGCAGGAAGGAAGGGCTGCGGAGGGTGGGGGGCGTTGGGAGACCCCCTCCCCCCCCATGGATCGTAGTTGGCAATTTGGGGAGGGGGTCCTGAACCTGCTTAGTGTGTGTGTCTGTCCTCCCCTCATGCAGGAAGCAGGGATCCCTGCTCCGTCTCTACCTCCCTACCTGTCCCCGGGGCCCCTCAGAGGCCCAGGCCCCGGCCCTCGCTTCTTCCCCCAGGCTCTCCCCAGACGCTGCATTGTGGGGAAGCAGCCAGGCAGCCTGGCCTACTCTGGGGCCCCCAGGTGGGTGGGAGGCCGAGGGACCCCCCGTGTGTTCTCACCCACCCCGCAGTGTCAGCTGTTTCGCTTTCCAAGTCCTCTGCTGAAGAGGCTCCCTCAGTGGGGGTGGGGGTGGCTTGTCTGCCTGCCCCCCTCCCACAACTGCAGGGCGGAAGGAAAGGGGTTTTCTTTGCTCTCTATCAGCTTATAAAGATTTCCCTTTCTACATCTCGTGTGACTGGAGGTCTTTGGACTGCGGGAAGAAAACTGCAGGGGGGGCTTCCTGCAGGGAAAGGGGAGGGGGTGCCAAGGGGTCCTCACTCTACCGCCCCACCCTCAGATCGAGCCTTGGGGTTCAATCCTTGCCAGTCGGCTGGGGGGACCTGGAACCTCTCATCGCTTGCAGAGGAAGATGGACAGCGACCTGAGAGCAAAGCTTTTGCGTTGGTGGTGAGCTGCAAGGTGGCCGAGGATGTGCCACCATGGTAGCCGGCTCACCGTGGCCTCTCCCTGCCTGACGTTTCTCAGGACGGGGAGCTCCTCCCTCCTGGGGGTGCCCCCATCTTCCCCAGCACCTGTGAGAAGCAGCTGCCGGTTTCACTGATGGTGGGGGAGACCCCCGTTGTCTGAATCACCAGTTTGGTCAAGAGAGGCTGTGCTGAGTCCTGCAAAACACGGTGGCTCCTTGGAAGCCCCATCTTGGTCTCTGGGTGGGGCTGTGCCCGCTCGGATGGAGCCAGCCCACCCTCGGGGTCTTCCCTGGGCTCCGGCCAGGGGCAGCCATGGCCAGGAGGTCCTGAAGCTGGGTGGGCTGCGTACCAGCAGCGTCCCCCATAGGAGCAGGTGGGCTGCTGGCTGTGCCACCTCACTCATGTGCCGGCTTCTGCCCTTCGCTCATGCTAGCAGTTGCTAGAAGGTGAGTCCCGATGCCAGGGGGTGCCAAAGGCAGCAGGTCATTGCCAGCAGGCAGGCGCCCAACGGCTGCTTCAGTTCCCACGTCCAAGGGACCTCGGCCAGCAGCTTTTGGCGGGGGGGGGGATGAAATCGAGGGAGGGAGCCCACAAGAGGGTGACCAGACTCCGGTCTTAATCCCTGGAGATGCCATTTAGATTAACATGCCTTATCTGGGTGTTGCTGCTTCAGTTCTGAAACTTTAGGGAGGTGACCAAGATTTAATTTTTTTTTTCAAAAAGTTAGTTTTGCCTGATTTTACGAACTTTTTTTGCCACAGTCATAAAGTGAATCATTACAGTGGATGCTAGTAACACGGTTGTTAAACGAATCTGGCTTTCCCAGTGACACGGCTGGTCAGAAGGCCACAAAAGAGGATCACGTGACCCCGGGACACTGCAACGGTCCCAAGTACGAGTCAGTTGCCAAGCGTCCGAATTTTGATCCCCTGATCACGGGGACGCTGCGAAGGTCGTCACTCTGAAAAACAGGTCACTTTTTTCAGTGGCATCGTAACTTTGAACGGTCACTAAATGGACTTTATTATTTCGCTGCTCGCTTCCCACATTACTAAGAACAAAGAGAGACTTATTCCGGTTCTGACTGGCAAGTGGGGGCTCGGGTTTCTTGCGGGCTCTGTGCCCTTGGAAGGCGACCCAGGCGTGCCCTTCCTGGCTGAGCATTCTGGGCATTGTAGGATGTGGACGGAGGGGGCCTCGGCAGTCTCCTAGCGCAACCCCCTGCTTGAGGCAGGAAGCCTTATAAGCGTAGAAGGTCCTGGGTTGAAAGCGGCTGCAACGGGGCCAGGGAGCCTTGGGGAAGAGCTGAGGCCTGTGGCTGGAGCCACGGAGGCAGAGCGGTGTACCCGAGGACACTCCGTGGCCAGCGGTCCAAAACGATCCCGATGAACCTGGCCGCCCTTTCACGCACTGGGGGGGGGGGGTTCCATGGGGGTCTCCCAAAGTTATCCAACACCCCCTTCCCCCGGCCAGCATTATTTTCCTTGGCTTCCTCCCACTGGTCTCCCAAGGCCTTTTCTGAGCCAAGAAACCCCCCACCCCTGAGGAGCCTCCCTAGCCCCCAAAACAGGTGTGATGGGTATGTTTGCTGCCTCGAGCTATTTGTAAAAACAATAAAGACAGGCTACAAATAAATAAGACGGCAACAGACAGCAAGTGCCGCCTATGCAAAGAAGCTGGAGAAACAGTGGACCACCTGGTAAGCTTCTGCAAGAAGATTGCCCAGACTGACCACAAGCAGCAGCATGGCAAAGTAGCAACAATGGCGCATTGGAAGATCTGCAAGAAATATCATGTGCCTGCAAGCAAGAACTGGTGGGACCATAGAATAAAGTCATAGAAAATGAAGAAGCTAAATTGCTCTGGGACTTCAGAATTCTGACAGACAGGCACCTGCCACATGACACCCCGGATTTAATAGTTGTCGATAAGAAAAACAAAAAAGTCGGGGTAGTGGATGTGGCAGGGGCTGGAGGCAGCAGGACAGAAGAAAATGAACCGGAGAAGATAACAAAATAAAAAGATCTGCAAATAGACAGTAAAAGAAAATAAGGGCAGTCCCAATAGTCCTAGGCGCCTTGGGTGCAATCCAGGGCTGGGTTCCACTTGCCTTTAGTACTGGTTCGCAGGAGGGCTGCATGCGCAGAAGCGTTTTGATGACGTCAGGGTCAGTGGGCGGAGCCTCCCGCCAGTTTTACTACCGGTTCTATAGACTCGAACCGGGGGCAACCCACCACTGGTGCAATCCCAAAAAAACCGAAGCACCACTTGAACACCCTCATTGGCATTGACAAAACCACCATCGGTCAATTGCAAAAGGCAGCTTCCCTCGGAACAGCTTCCATCCTACAACGATATCCGTGACACTGTCAAACACCCACATCTGCCTATCCCAGGTCCGTGGGAAGGATTCAATAGGCAGACAAAAATGCCAAATCCAGACTGAACATCTGGCTGACTATCATAATACCTTCAATGAGTGATAGAGAGAACATGCTAAGCAAAGTATGGGATGGAACATGTGATTGCACCAGCAGTAAGTAAACCCAGGAAGTGGCAAGTTACCAATGAGTGAAATTGTAACTTTGTGCAAACATTATCAAAGTAATGAAGTATTTGGGCTGGTTCTTTGTGCTGGAACGTCCAGCTGAGGTTCCCCTGGGCTTCAGCACAGAGATAAACTGTTTGAATTCCCCTTTTCTTGATTCAGGCATGAATAGCAATTTCCCCGTCATGCAAAGTTGAATTCAAATCTTTATTGTCAGTGCACAACATATGCACAATGAGATTGGTTGAGATTGGTGAACAAACTCCTTAGGCTTGGCCTTGGCCACCGCCAGTGGGATATGCACAGGGAGTCAGAATACAGCTGGAAGGGACCCTGGAGATCTTCTAGTCCAACCCCCTGCTCAAGGCAGGAGACCTTTTTTCTAGCTAGACCACAACCTACATCTTGGTAAGTTAGAAAAAAGTGGGATAGATAGGATCACCACCAGTTGGATTCATAACTGGCTGATAAACCATACTCAACGAGTTCTCATTAATGGGTCTACGTCTACATGGAGGGAAGGAAGCAGTGGGGTACCACAAGGTTCTGTCTTAGGCCCAGGACTCTTCAATATCTTCCTAAACGACTTAGATGAGGGAATAGAAGGGGAACTCACCAAATTTGCAGATGATAATAAGCTGGCAGGAATAGGGTTTTTTTTTAAAGTTTTTTCATTAGTAGTTCAAAATTAAAAACATTGGTCATAGATATGACATCACTGGTCCCAAGCATCTTCCAACACTTTAAATTAATACATAATATACTAATGATAATAATATATTCCTTACACCTTATACGTTATTTAAACATAGTATAATAGCAATTTATACCTTATTCCTATACAATTATACATACCTATACCTACATATACCTATCTGTACAATTCACATACATATTTATCTATAATAACGTATATAATTCTAGTCTAACACTACACATTTGTCTCAGCTATTCTCCTTTTATCTAACCATACATAGAATTTTGCCCAGATTTTATAGTACAATGTTTCACTTTTATCCTTGAGTTCCAAGGTGAGTCTATCCATTTCTGAGCAGTTGAAAATTTTTAGTAGTATTTCCTCTTCAGTTGGGGTATCTTTCTCTTTCCACTTCTGCGCAAAGGCTATCCGTGCTGCTGTAAGTATATGCAGTAGTAGATAATTTATGTTTTTCTTGTATTTGCCCTCTGTCATTCCCAAAAGGAAAAATTCCGGTTTGACTTCTGTGTTTATTAAAAAATTTCTTCCAACCAACTCTTTTATCAGATTCCAATATTTTTTTGCCTTTGGGCATTCCCACCACATATGATAGAAGTTCCCTAGAGCCACCTCGCACTTCCAACATGCTGAAGAATTTCCCTTATTGATTTGTGCTAATCTTGGGGGGGGGTGCCACCTATAAAGCATTTTATATAAAATTTCCTTATAGATTTTATTTTATTTTTATTTGTAAAGTATATTTTTTTAAAAAAATTCCTTATATGAAGTTGCTAATGTAATTTTTAATTTTTTTTCCAGAGAGTCTGCCAATTGTCCAAATCAATACTGTGCCCAAAATATTTACTCCAAATTATCGTTTCTTTGATTTGTTCCTCAATCATGTCTTGTTCCAATAAATAGCAATATAATTTAGTTAGTTAGTTAGTTAGTTAGTTAGTTAGTTAGTTAGTTAGTTAGTTTATTATATTTGTATACCGCCCTTCTCCCGAGGGACTCAGGGCGGTGAACAGCCATGGTAAAAACAATGTACAACAAAAATTAAAAGCTTATTAAAATAATTCAATCATTCGGCCAAATTTAAAACATCCAACTAAGATCATTTTAAAATCCCTATCAAAACCCAATTTAAAAAACCTTTATCCTGTCAATCCAGCTTGCTGGAATAATAGGGTCTTCAGAGCGCGACGGAAGGCACGGAGGTCGGGGATCCTTCGTATGTCCGAGGGCAGCTCATTCCATAGGGCCGGGGCCCCCACAGAGAAGGCTCTCCCCCTGCGGGTCGCCAGCCTACACTGTTTGGCTGACGGCACCCTGAGGAGGCCCTGTCTGTGGGAGCGTATTGGTCGGTGGGAGGCAATCGGTGGCAGAATGCGGTCCTGTAGATAACCAGGTCCTAAGCCATGGAGCGCTTTAAAGGTGGTAACCAACACCTTGAAGCGCACCCAGAAGACCACCGGGAGCCAGTGCAGCTCGCGCAAGATGGGTGTTACATGGGAGCGACGAGTCGCCCCCATTATTACTCGCGTGGCTGCATTCTGGATCAGCTGGAGCCTCCGGGTGCTCCTCAAGGGGAGCACCCGGAGGTCTTATGGTCTTACTCTCCCTGCTTAATAAAATCTAATTGTGATAATTCTTACAGACCTATTGATGGCAGGAATAGTTAACACTCCAGAAGATAGGCTCAAGATCCAGATGGATCTTGACAGACGAACACTGGGCCTATCTAACAAAATGAAATTCAATGTAGAGAAAAGTAAAGTCTTACACTTAGGCAAGAAAAAACAAAAGTACAAATATAGACTGGGTGAAACCAGGCGGAAAAGACGCCTGGAGAGCGATTGGAGGACAAGCCGATCTGAATCTGACCGAACACAGGTGAGATTTTATATTAAGACCTACCTAGTGGCGATAAGAGCGGCGAAGTCTAGCTACTTCTCCGCTCTTATTGCATCTGCAGAGAACCCCCCAGCTGCGCTGTTTAGGGTGATCCGCTCCCTACTTCAGGTGGGGGTACGGGAAGATCCCTTAAAGGGTCGAGCTGAGGATTTTGTACAATTCCTGCATGATAAAGTTGCTCAGATTCGGGAAGGCCTGGACTCCGATTGGGTAGATCCAGGGGAGGAGACGGGGGTGAGTCTTGAGAGCGTTATCTGGGAAGAGTTTGACTCTGTGGCTCCTGAGGACGTGGACAGGATTCTGGGTAGGCTTAGTGCTGCCACATGTTTATTGGACCCGTGTCCCTCCTGGTTGGTACTGGCCTTCCGGGAGGTTACACGAGGCTGGCTCCAGGGGATTATAAATGCTTCTCTGAGTGAGGGTGTCTTTCCCACCGCCTTGAAAGAGGCGGTTGTGAAACCCCTCCTCAAGAAGCCTTCCCTGGACCCGGCTATATTATCAAATTATCGTCCAGTCTCCAATCTTCGCTTTGTTGCGAAGGTTGTTGAGAATGTGGTGGCGCGACAACTACCACGATACCTGGATGAAGTTGTCTATCTGGATCCGTTCCAGTCAGGCTTCAGGTCACGATACAGCACGGAAACGGCATTGGTGGATGATCTCTGGAAGGCTCGGGACAGAGGTTGCTCCTCTATCCTGGTCCTATTAGATCTCTCAGCGGCTTTTGATACCATCGACCATGGTATCTTACTGCACTGGCTGGAGGGGTTAGGAATAGGGGGCACCGTGCTTCGGTGGTTCTCCTCCTTCCTCTCTGACCGTTCGCAGTTTGTGTTGGCAGGGGGGCAGAGGTCGACCTCGAGGCACCTTATTTGTGGGGTGCCGCAAGGGTCAGTCCTCTCACCCCTTCTGTTCAACATTTATGTAAAACCGCTAGGTGAGATCATCCGTGGTTTTGGGGTGAGTGTTCATCAGTATGCTGATGACACACAGCTATACATCTCCACCCCAGACCACCCCAATGATGCCCTTGCTGTGATGTCCCGTTGCCTGGAGGCCGTGCGGATCTGGATGGGGAGAAACAAGCTCAGATTCAACCCCTCCAAGACCGAGTGGCTGTGGCTTCCGGCGTCCCGGTATAGTCAGCTAGTACCATCACTGACAATAGGGGATGAGATCTTGCTCCCCACAGAGAGGGCCCGCAACTTGGGTGTCCTCCTGGATTCACTGTTATCTTTAGAAGATCGTTTGACGGCCGTGGCCAGGGGGGCCTTTTATCAGGTTCGCCTGATCCGCCAGTTGCAGCCCTTTCTGGATCGGGACGCCTTGCGCACGGTCACTCATGCCCTAGTTACCTCCCGTATGGACTACTGTAATGCTCTCTACATGGGGCTCCCCTTGAAAAGCACCCGGAGGCTCCAACTGGTCCAGAACATAGCCGCGCAGGTGATTATGGGCGCAGCTCGTTACGCCCATGTAACACCTCTCCTACACGAGCTGCACTGGCTCCCGGTGGTCTTCCGGGTGCGATTCAAGGTGTTAGTTATCACCTTTAAAGCGCTCCATGGCTTAGGACCTGGGTACCTACGAGACGGTCTTTTGCCACCAATAGCCTCCCACCGACCAGTTCGTTCTCACAGGGAGGGACTACTCAGGGTACCGTCAGTCAAATTATGTCGACTGGCGACTCCCAGGGGGAGGGCCTTCTCTGTGAGGGCTCCAACCCTTTGGAATGAACTGCCCCCGGAGATACGGAATATCCCTGATCTCCGTGCTTTCCGCCGTGCCCTCAAGACCCTGATGTTTCAACAGGCGGGGCTAAACATACGAACATGTGAATGATTTTTTAAATGTTATCTAATTCTTGGTTTTATTTAATTGACCAAACTAAGTAATAATTTTAATTAGCAATTTTATGATGTTTGTGTGTCTATATTTTTCTTGACTGTACACTGCCTTGAGTCCTATGGGAGAAAGGCGGTATAGAAATATAATAAATAAATAAATAAATTAATTAATAGCAGTGACTGTGAGAGGGATCTTGGAGTCTTAGTGGACAATCAGCTAAATATGAGCCAGCTGTATGCAGCAGCAGCTGCTGCTAAAAAAGCCAATGCAATCCTAAATTGCATGAACAGAGGGATACAATCAAGATCAAGGGAGGTACTAATACCACTCTATAAAGCCTTAGTAAAGCCACACCTAGAATACCACATCAAGTTTTGGTCCCCACACTATAAAAAAGATGTTGAGAGTCTGGAAAGAGTGCAGAGAAGAGCAACCAAGATGATTGGGGAACTGGAGGCTAAAACATACGATGACCGGTTGCAGGAACTGGGCATGGCTAGTCTAGTGAAGAGAAGGACCAGGGGGGACAGGAGAGCATCTTCCAATATTTGAAGGGCTGCCACAGAGAGGAGGAAGGGGGTCAACCTGTTTTCCAAAGCACCCGAAGGCCAGACAAGGAATAATGGATGGAAATGGAACAAGGAGAGATTCCACCTGGAAATAAGGAGAAATTTTCTGAGAGGGAGAACCATCAACCTTCGGAAGTTGTGGGAGCTTCATCACTGGAGGCTTTCAAGAAGAGACTGGACTGCCATCAGTCAGAAATGATTTAGGGTCTCCCGCTTGGGTGGGGGGGGTTGGGCTAGATGGCCTCCAAGGTCCCTTCCAACGCTGTTCAATCTGTTAAATCCCAGCCTAGACCATTTCAGACAAGCGGCTGTCACGCCCAACCTCTGGATGGGGCTGGACGGGTAGAGAAGATTCCTGGGAAAGGGCTTTTTATCTGGTTTTCTCCCTTCATTCTCCTACATTTGCCTTCATGCCTTTTCTTTCTTTTTTTCCTTTCTTTTCTTTTCTTTTCCTGGTTGTGTTAAAGCAGCTTTTCTCAAACTTTAAGGAGGCTGGACTTCAACTCGCCCAGCATGATAGGCAGGCGTTCAAAGGCAGGCGGAGCCAACCGGGATCGGCCTCCGTCTGGAAGACCCGCCCACCAGCGCCATCTTAAGGCCGGGCGGGAGGGGAACGGAGGATGCTGCAGCCATCTTAAGTTGGGGCAAAGGATTCTTCTACCGCTCGGCTCCTCCTCATTGTATCGTCGCCACAGTATCGCAATACGGCATAGGCTAAGAAGTCGCGGCCGGGAACCGCACGACGAGATTCCAGAGTGGCGCTTCGTATCGTTCCTCGTCCTATCCCCCCCGAGAACCCATTTCACGCGCTGAAATTCACTCCGGCGGAGGAGCGGCAGGCCGTGCCCTTCCCCAAAATGGCCGCGGGCGCTTCGCTCCGCTGGGCAAATGGCGGCCGCCTCCCGTGGCGTCACTTCCGGGAGGCAGCCGGGAGGGTTGACCCGGAAGCGGCGGCTCCACGTGGGGCGGCGGGCGAAAGCGACCCAGCGGGCGAGGATGGCGGGGGGCGAGGCGGCCGTGGCCGTGGCCGTGCAGGGGGCCCGGGGGGAGGCCGCCCCCGCCTCCAGGAAGAAGGTGAGGCGCCGCTTCCTTCTCCCCGGGGCCCTGCGCTGGCGGACGGGAGGTTGCAGGGACGGAGGGACCCCCGGAGGTCATCTAGTCCGACCCCCCCCGCCCACCTTCCCCACCCCGGTCTCCTCTCGGGGTCCCGCAATCCCCTCCCTCCCTCCCTCCCTCCCCGCAGGCAAGGCGGCCGCAGCGCTACTGGGACGGTGAGCCTGGCCGGGCCGAAGGCCATCGGGCGGCCCCTCCGGAGACCAAGAGGGCCCGGCGGCCGCGGAAGACGGAGAGCAAGACGGGCAAGAGGCGGATCTCGGGGGTGAGCGAGGGGGGGGGAGAAGCGAGGGGGGGAGAAGCGAGGGGGGGTCGCGGGCGAAACTGACCCCCCCCCAACCGCCCCCTTTGCAGGAGGAGGACCCTTTCCCCGGAGCCCCCCAGAGCCCCCCGGAGAGAGCGAGGAAGTTCCAGCGAGGAGCCCCGCAGCAGCTGGTGAGACCGACCACCCCCCACCCACCCACTCCCTCCCTCCCGGGCCGACACCCCCAACCCCCGCCCCTGACCCCGCCGCCCTGTCCCCGCAGGAGTCTGTGTCCAGCGACCGGCTGAAGCACCGGCTGGCCTCGCAGGAGGAGAAAGCCCGAGCGGCCGCTCGCCAGGCGGCCCGGATGGAGCTGCTGCTGCTGGAGGAACCCGGGTGAGCCTCACGGACCCTTCCCCGCTCCTGACCCCGCTTGCGCAGCACCCCGCCGCCCCCGCCGCCTGCCTTCCCAGCGAGGACCAGAGGACTGTGGCGGGCGGTTCCGCCGGCCCTCAGCGCCTCCTGTCTGGGGAGGAACGGAAGTGGGCGCTTCAAGGAGGGATCTGGGCAGGGAGGACTAGGAGAGAGAAGAGCCGGAAGGGACCGTGGAGGCCTTCTAGTCCAGCCCCGTCCTCAAGCAGTGACTGCAGGGAGGCCCCTTTGCCTAGCAGCGGCATCTCCTGTTGGAGGAGGAGGAGGAGGAGGAGGAGGGTCTCCCTGGGCTGTCAGCGCTTGAGGGGGGCGCCCATTCGGACGCAGCCTCTCTGCCACCTGCCCAGCTCCAATCCCTTTGCAGCCCTCGGTCGTCCGCCGGACACCCGGCCAGAGCAGAGAGGAAGCCGGTGGCCCTCCCCTCTTCTCTCTCTCTCTCTCTTCCCCAACCCCCCCCCGTGGGACCCCAGGAGGCCTCCTGTCCCAAAGGGTCCCCCCCTCCCCTCCCTCCTTCCTGGACCCGATTCTGTCTGAGGCTGCTTGGGAGGAAGGAGGAGCCTTTCTCCCTGCGGATCTCCTTTGACATGCCAAACATCTGGCAAGCTCCCCTCCGCCCTTCCTGGCATCCCAGTTTCTGGGTCTTCTTGTCTTCTGTGACACTGATTGGCAGGGTTGGCAGGCAGGGAGGGGGGGGGCTCTTCACAGGGGCAGCGCCAGCCAGCCCGAAGGGGAAGGAACGGGGGAGGGGGAATGGGGGAGGGTCCTTGTCTGTTTGCTTTGGGATCCCACGGGGGGGGGGGGGGAGGGGGGACCATTCCTTCTGACCGGCCTTTTCAAATGGCCTTGAAAATGGAATTCCGCTTTTCTTGAAAGGGTTTTTGTTTCATTGACTAACTTATTTATGGGGTGAAAAAGGAGGCTGGGGTGCAACGCTGACCCTCCCCTTCCCCCCCCCCCCATTTCTCTTCCTCCTGGCCAGGTTTCTGGAGGGGGACGAGGAGGAAGACACCTGCACTGTCACCCAGGCCGATATCGCTGCTGCTGTGGACCTCGCTGCCAGTGCCAAGGTGGAAGGGGGGGGGGTTGCTCCGGACTGGGGAGGGCTGGTGCTTACTGGTTTCGGGGGGGGACGATTTCATCACCACGCTGTCTCTCCCCTCCCCCCCCCAGCACTTTGAGCTGCGCCTGGATCGTTTTGGCCCCTACCGGCTGAGTTACACGCGGAATGGCAGGTGAGGGGCTTATGCCAAGGGTCTCGGGCCACCGAGAATGGGGTGCCCTGCACCCTCCCTCCCTCATCCCTGCGTTGCTCCCACTTCAGGCATCTCCTCCTGGGCGGGCGCCGGGGCCACGTGGCTGCCCTGGATTGGCAGACAAAGGCCCTCATGTGCGAGATCAACGTCATGGAGACCATCACTGATCTCACGTGAGTCTCCCCCCCCCCCACATGGCCCAGCTCTAGGCCGTCCCTAGGGAACTGAGGGGGAGGACAGAGGTTCCCCCAGGGGGCTGCAATCCCTGCCACGATGGCTCCGCTCAACGGCTCCCAAATCTCACATCTTTGTGAGTCTTTCAACCCACAACGGAGGCCTTGGTTTGGCTGGCCACTCATCTCCCCTCCCCTCCCCCATGAAGGAACCACTGTGCTTTTGTGGGCAGCTGGGCAGACTTTCCGCCCTGCATGTTGCAGGTGGCTGCACACGGAGACCCTGTTTGCCGTGGCCCAGCGCAAGTGGCTGTACATCTACGACCAGCAAGGCGTGGAGCTGAACTGCCTGAAGCGTTTCCACGGCGTCCAGCGGATGGAGTTCCTGCCCTACCACTTCCTGCTGGCCACAGCGGTGAGCGGGCCCTGCAGGCCTTGGCCTTCTCTCCGAAGGGGGCGCCCAGTGGCATTGATTGGGGGGGGGGGGAGAGCTTCTGCAGAGCGGGTCTCCTGGGTCCCCAGCAAAAGGCTCCACCCCACCTCCGGTCTCTCCAATTTCAAAGCTTGGGTTGAGCTGACCAGAAAAGCCCCACCCCCAAAAATGCCACCAGCAATTCTCAGGGTTGGAGGGAACCTCATGCTCATCTAGACTGACCCTTTGCTAAAGCTATCACCCAAGGTCAGCCGGGCTAATGAGCCGTGAGGTTTCAAAGCCTGGCACAGGTGGGGGCACTTTTCTTCACACACACACACCCCAGAACTGTTCTCTTCGCCCTCCCCGCCCCCCCCAGAGCGAGTCAGGGTTCCTGCAGTACCTGGACATCTCAGTGGGGAAGGAGGTGTCCACCATCTGCACCAAGGCAGGCCGGCTGGCGGTGATGGCCCAGAACCCCTCCAACGCCATCGTCCACCTTGGGCACAGCAATGGTGAGTGGGGTGGAGGCAGGTGGGCATCTCTGCCCTCGTCCAGAGTACCCCCGCCCACCACCTCCCCTTCTCTCTGCTGCAGGGACGGTCACGCTCTGGAGCCCCAGCGCCAAGGCCCCACTGGCCCGGATGCTGTGTCACCAGGGGGCCGTCAGGGCCGTGGCGGTCGACCCCTCCGGGAGGTGAGCAAGCAGGCAGCCGGGGGGGGCGCATGGGGGGGGCATGCCCAATGCAGAACGGGTCTTCCTTCCCTTCTCCCGCAGCTACATGGCCACCTCAGGGCTGGACCACAAGCTCCACATCTATGACCTCCGGGCGTATCGGCGCCTCCACTCTCTGCTGCTGCCCTCTGGGGCTGGGCTGCTGGATTTCAGCCAGCGGGGGCTCTTGGGTGCCGCCTGCCAGGAGGTGGTGCAGGTGAGTGATGTTGCGGGCTGAGCCTGGCCCTCACACACCCCACCCCCTCCCCATTGATTCATGCCCTCGTGAGCTGCTCCCTCTCCCCCAGGTATACAAGGATGTTTCCGTCTGCCCGGCTCGGAAGCCCTACCTGTGCCACGGGCTGCCCGGCCCCTCCCACGGCCTTCGCTTCTGCCCCTTTGAGGATGTGCTGGGCGTGGGGCACGAGCAGGGCTTTGCCAGCCTTCTGGTCCCAGGTAAGGGGTGGCAGTGGCCATCTGGGGGGTGTGTGTCTGAGGGGGGATGGGCCACCCTGTTTCGGGAGAAGACTTCCCTCAGCCCGGTTGCCTTGCAGGTGCCGGGGAGCCAAACTTTGACGCCCTGGAGAACAACCCCTTCCGCAGCCGGAAGCAGAGGCAGGAGTGGGAGGTTAAAGCTTTCCTGGAGAAGGTGAGCCCTCAGGTCCCCCCCCTGCCCCCCCCCTGCAAAGCTGGGCTCCTCTTCCCGGACATCGAGCCGCCTCCATGGATCAAAGAGGGGGCTCTGAGGGAGGAGCCCCACTGGTTTTCCTCACAGCGCGTTCTTCTCCCCAGATCCCATCGGAACTGATCACCCTGGACCCCACAGAGCTGGGCCGGGTGGACCCCATTTCCTTGGAGCAGCAGCGCCAGGAGCGGGCAGAGAGGCTGGTACGTTTGGGCACCGATGGGAGGAGGAGGAGGAGGAGGCTGTGAGGGGCTCTGGGTCTGAGGACGCTGACTCCATGCCCCCTGCACCTCCTCACAGGGCTACGACCCGGAGGCCAAGGAGCCCTTCTCTCCTCGGAGGAAGCTGAAGGGCAGGGACTCGGCAGGCAGCAGGCTGAAGCGAAGGAAGAAAGTGGCTGCCGAGGAACAGCGGGTGAGTCTCCGGAGGATGCCGCCTCCTGGATCCCAGCCTTCCCCCCACACCCCACACTCTTCTGCTGAGCCACAATGTGGTTGCCAAATGCTTACTTTTAATACACCATCAGAGCATTTGATTCAGGAGCAGCCATCGGCACATTAATCTGGTTGGGTCCTGGCTCTTGTGGGGAGGGGGGTTTCTGCCAGTTCCTCTTCAGGCCCACCCACCCACCTACCCACCTTCCTCCTGGCAGGCTCTGCTCCGGAAGAGCTTGGCTGCCAAGGCAGAGACTCAGCCAGCGACCTCCAAGGCCAAAGTCTCTCCAGCCCAGAGGTCAGCGCTGGATCGCTTCCAGAAATAGCAGGCAAAGAAGGGCTGGCATCCCCGCCGTGTGCAGCAGAGTGGCTCTGGATGGCTCCCCTTAAGGGGCACGGGCTCTGGATACCGGCCCTGCGCTGGACAGCTGGTCCCACGGACCTTCCCTGGAACTCCTCTGGGATTTATCTGAACCTTTGCATAAATACACACTTGTCATTTATAGATGTGTGTCATCTTTCTGGTCTGCTGAAGGTGGGGGCTGCCCCCCGCTTCCCACTCGACAGTTGGCAAAGAAGGGGGACTCACAAGGGGGCATAAAGCATCCTTGGGAAGAGGGGGCGAAAGAAGCACCCCCCAAAAAAATATTCCCAGGCATTGGACACTCCTGCCACAGAGAGCCTCCCTCCCCCAAGGGCTGCGGCCGCCCTGCCCCACAGCCCAGGCATAGGAGCACCTGGCAAGCCTGCTCCTGTGCCCCACAGAGCCCTGAACTCCCCACTAAGAGACCAAAGTTACTGCCTTCACAATCGCCCAGTTATTCCAGATTCTCCCACCCATCAGTGACCAGCCCCACATGCTGTCCAAGTCCCTTCAGACCCTGCCGTTCTGTGGGGCAGCTTCTCCCTGCTTGCCTGAAAAGTCCACTTTGAGTCAGTTAGCAGAGAAGGGATGGCAGCCCGCTCAGCCTCAAATGTGCAGCCCAAAAGACTGACCGGGTGCAGTGGCCACACACTTTTGGCCTTCCTCCGCTGAAAGGCCGCAGCGCCCCGAAGTCCGGAGAGGGGAGTCGGTCTGCCGGGCGAACTTCCCAGCCGCTCTCCTGCAAGTCCAAGGCCGGCTGGCCAGGGTTTACGGGCCCTCCTGCTCCTCCTCCGCGGCCACCAGCCAGGTCAGTGCCTTGCAGCGGGCCAGGCCCAGTAGGCGCTGCCAGGTGGAACACGGCCTCTCGCCCTTGGCCCACATGGCCAGCATCCGCCCAGGTGTCACACCGTGCACACTGAAGAGCACCTCCCGGAAGCAGCAGGCGTCGGGTGGGTAGTGGGTGCCGCCGGCCATGTGGGCCAGGTGCCGCGGGGTGATGCCGGCATGGCGAGCGCACAGCCCCACGAAGACGTCCTCCACGGGCAGCAGCGGCAGGTGGGGGGCGGCGGCCAGCACAGCGGCGGCAGCCAGGCCGGAGAGCACGTAGGCAGGGCCGCTGCAGTAGGGCGGGTAGGCGGTCGGTGGGTAGAGCGAGGCAGGGACGTAGTGGCGGCTGCGGGGGTCGCGGGTGGGCGGCACGTGCCAGTGGACGCGGCCCAGGTAGACGGCGTCGGGGCCGCCCAGCGCCTGCAGGTGGCCGGCCAGGGCCGGCAGGTTGAGGAAGACGTCGTCGTCGGCCTTGAGCAGGAAGCGGGCGGCGGGGCAGCGGGCGGCGGCCCAGCCCAGCAGCGCCAGGGTCTTCAGCGTCAGGTTGGCGTAGGTGTCGGCGAAGCGTCCCTGCAGCAGGTCCCCGTGCTCGGCCGCCTCGCGCTCCAGCGCCTCCTGCAGCGCCGCCTCCCCGGGCAGCCCCAGCGCGAAGACGGTGCGCACCGCCAGGCCGGCCGCCGCCCGCGCCCCGCCCCAGCTGCGCCGCACCGCCGCCCGCCGCGCCGAGTGCCCCGGAGCGCTGGCCACCAGCACCAGCAGCCCCGGGGCGGCGGCGGGCGGCGCGCAGGCCGGCGGGGCCAGCGGGAAGAAGGCGGCGGCGGGCAGCGGCGGGCGGGCAGCGGCCGAGCGGGGCTCCCTCGCGCCCCCGGCCCGCAGCAGGAGAGGCAGCGAGCGCGACAGCAGCTCCTCGTGGCCGCCGCCCGCCAGGAAGACGAGCGCCGACAGCGCGGCCAGGCAGCCCAGCAGCCCCCACAGCAGCCGGGCCGAGCGGCGCGGGCAGCGCTTCGGGAGCAGCGCCGCGACGGTCATGGGCGGCGCCGGCCGGTGGGCCTGCAAGAGAGAGAAAGAGCGTCAGCAAAGCCACAAGGCGGCCCCACGCGCGCGCGCGCTCCGCAGGGGACGGACGGACGGCGAGAGCGGCTGGGCTAACGGTGCGGCGGCTTCCTTTCGCCTTCCCTCCCTCCCTCCCTCCCTCCCTCCGCCAACCGACCTTTGTGGGGGACGAGGCGGCGCTCGCTAATTCGCGTCCAGCTGCTGGTGGCTGAGCGGCCGCTGCGGAGCTGCTCGTGAGGTTGCCGGCCTCGCTCTCGCCGCTGCGCGCCCCCGGCAGCCGCCCTCCCCCGGCCGAGACCCCTCCCGCGGAGGAATGAAAGGACCCGGCCCTGTTTCGGTCCCAGCAGGCGCCTCCTTCCCCTGGGCGGACGGGGGAGGGAGGCCGGTCCTCAGCTGAGGGGGGGAGGGCGGTCTTGGGGGGGGGCAAGTGCAGCCGCGGCCTTGGGCCCAGCCGAAGCTCTTGGCCAAGAGGCAGAAAGGCCGGTCTTGCAAGGGGGGAAAGGGGGATTTCTCTCCTGGGAGCCTCTCGGGGGATCTGATCCAGGGGAAGGAAGCCTGGAGATCAGGCCCGGCCCAGGAGGCAGAACCAGGGACCTCTGTCCCCCTTCCCTCCTCGGTTCCACCCAGACCAGCTGGGCATCCTTGGCTAGCCCAAGTGGGGCCTTCCCTCAGCCCCCTCAGGTGAAATTCAGCCCCCCCCCTTATGCCAGCTGCTCAGAGCCAATTCCTCCAGCAGCACCATTAAGCTCTCTCCCGCCATTTGCTCTTAGCCTTCAGCTCTGAGATGGTGCCAGCCTGCCCTGGAGCCTGGCTCTCGGGGCTTCCTCCGGCACCTGCTCTAAACCCACAAGCCCAGCGGGGCCTTTGTGGCTGGCAGTTGGGCACGTCCCAGGGACCTCTTGGAGGGCAGACCTGGGTCGGTGCACCCCGTTGTTCCCAAGCATCTGGTAACCTGGGGCACCGGTTGCTGGGTTGCAGGGTGTGGGTGCTGGGAACGGGTCCAGCAAGACGCCAGCAGTAGCTCTGCAGGCCCAGCCAGATGGCTGCTCAGGTCCTCTGGAGATCACGGCTGGTCAACCATTCGCCTTCCTGCCTCCTGTGGACGGGCGGCTGCCTGTCGGGGCCCTGGGCATGCCTGAAGCAGGGGCACCTTTGATTCCTTCTGGGTAACCACCCTCTTCAAGTTGCAGCAGGGGCTTGTGGGTATTTCTCCTTGAGGGGGACTGCCTGTTCCAGCAGAGAGGCCTCTAAAACAGCCTCCGATGGCTGCCTCTGCCTCTCCTTCTAAAGTGCCCCCCTTCCTGTGCCGAGCCCTCGTTGCTGGCTGCAGCAGAGGCCGCCTGCTCCCTCCCTCCCCCCCCCCAGGGCTGGGGGCATTTAGGAGAGATCCAGCTTGGCCTGGAGCAGGAGGGGTCCCTCCCCAAAATGAACGAAGGTCATGTTTCATCAGTAACTGAGTTGAAACATGCTTGGGATAAACACGTCCAACAATAGACACAGAGACCCAAACAACATCTACATGCTGTGGAAAAAGGGCGTGAAAGACGTCAGCACCTCCCACCAGCAGCAGTCGGCACCCAGGTGAGCAGAATTGTAACTCCCAAGATTAACATCAGGCCAACAGTCAAGAAGTAAACAGCACCCCAACCAAGGAACTGACAAACAAGCTCACAGTGAACAGCCCAATCAAAGGACCTCATGAAACCTCTGGAAGGAAGGAAGCAACCCAGCTCAGAAAGCGCCCCTCATTTCAACCCTGAGCTACAAATATTTTCCTTTAGTGGCAACTCCCGTTTCTCCCTGGCGATGCCCTTGTGGCACCTGCGGGCCACCCGATGCCCAGAGCGAGCCCACTCGCCATTGGAGGTGTGGGTAGGGAGAGGAGGAGGGGGCAGGTATTCCTGACATGGGCTGGAGGGAAGCCAGGAGTCCCCCTGTTCCCCCCACCCACCCAGCTGGGGGTCTTTCAGGGCACAGAAATACCTTTGGGGTTTCTGCAGGAGAGGAGAGGGCAGGATCCGTGTTTCCTGGCACCGTTGCTACCCAAAATCTACCTGCACAGGTGACACCCAGGGAGGCAGGGAGGGCGGAGCCTGGCTCTGTCGAGGGAGGGGCAGAGAGGGAAAGGGCCCCTTTTCCACAGTTGGCAACAATCAGCCCCTTTGCTTTTCCCAGGCTGACCGGCTGGACTTTGGTCAGGGAAGGTTCTGACAGCTTAAGAATGGAAAACAGGGGAATCCTTCAAATGGGGAAAGCCCCCCTTTAAGCCCTCCAGAGAGCAGCAGCAGCAGCAGCAAAGGCCGTAATTTCTCTGGGAGGGGAATCCCCCCTTCATAAGAAAAGGACTCACGTCACCTTTCAGCACAACAAGGCAGGATGTGATCAGAGTGTACAGAAGGAAGGCGCCAAAATTGAGAACGGATCAAATTTCTCTCCAGACTGCCTGTGCTTTTTGTGGCTGTCTATGAAAAGTGGCAAACCGCAGATGTGCAACAGGATGTCAGAATTAAGAAAGTTTCACAAAGTAACGCTAAATGGAACCTTGTACCCAGAAGGACAAAGGCAAATATCCAGGTGGAAAGACTGATTCGGATGGTAAATAGCAAAGGCCTCTTTGGGGGAGGGACCTCTGGATCCAGACTCCGCAAACAGCCCTCAGTGGCTGCAGGACTTGTGGCCGGCCAGCCTCTCTTGTCCAGCAGAAAAGTGTCCACAGGAGGGGGCAATGGATGCCTGGCAGTTTAGGGCACTAAAATGATACAGCAATTAAAACGTCCCCAGCATAAAAGGCATCTAATTCACACAGAAACCCCGGAGACCCCAAAGGCAGATGATGGGGCTAATATGGGGGAGGCCCCTCTGGATGTCCAGAGCCGCCCTGGGGAAAGAGCCCCGGCCTCAGGTCCCCCCACTCACCTGGAAGTGGGTGCTCCCCACAGCTGCTCTCCCCCAGGGGCTTTGAGAGTGGTGGTGGGGGATGAAGTGGAAAGGCAGCCCTGAAGGACTGACCAGTTAAAACCAGTGCTTGACTGGCACCCGGGCAGCTGAGGGCACACCCGGGTCTTGTCCATCCATAGGTCCTGTTTTGGGTTCAAAATGGAACCAATCTGTATTGATTTACTTATCTTTATCCTGCATTTTTTAATGAATAACTCAAGGCAGTGAACATACCTACAGTAGTATTCCTTTCTCCTCTTATTTTCCCACAACAACCCTGTGAGGTTGCTTGGGCTGAGAGAGAGAGAGACTGTCCCAAAGTCCCCGAGTCAGCTTTCATGCCTAAGGCAGACCTAGAACTCGTGTCTCCTGGTGATTCCCCCAAAGTCACCCAGCCGGCTTTCATGCCTAAGAAGGGACTAGAACTCGCAAGGCTCCCAGTTTCTATTTTTTTTTTGTAAAGTTTTTTTTTATTTTTTAAATACACAAACAAACATAGATCACATCTTTTCTGAACAGAATATTGGCCCGGTCTTAAATTTGTATAAACTTTTGTTCATCTTTAACACAATTTTATATGTTCAATTTTTCTCATAGCATTTATTCTCTTTAATTTTAAAAAAACCAATATTACCCTTCATCTTGACTTCTCATCCTATTGTAGTTCAGTTTTTCTTTTCCCTCCTTAAAATTTGAACCCCTAAGTTTAGATTCACATAACATAGTACAATCCCCAATTATTTCCTTAAATTCTCCTCTTCTAATCACCAATGATTCTTTTATCAACTATTCCCAATAATACAATTCAACATATTAATAGAAACCAATTAAGTAATTAAATTAGTTAATTTCCTGGGGATGTGAGAGCGAAGGACCCTGGTTTCCGTCTGATATATGTGAATGCCAGGTCCGTGATGAATAAGGCTCTCCTCATACGAGATCTTATTGATGAGGAGGGTGCGGACCTGGCCTGTATCACGGAGACCTGGTTGGGGCAAGTGGGGGGAATCCCTCTCTCTGATTTATGCCCCTCAGGCTTTCATGTCCTGCACCAGCCGCGACACCAGGGAAGCGGCGGGGGGGTGGCGGTGGTTGTTAGAGAAAGTCTGAGTCCTAGGGAGGTCACTGTCCCTCAGATAGGCGGGTGTGAGTCTCTTCTATTGAAGTGGGACCCTGGAATTCAGTCGGGCTTGTTGGTCACATACCTCTCTCCCAGCTACGTTGCCACAGCCCTGCCCGCACTGCTTGATGTCTTGTCTGAGGTGGCACTTGAGCTCCCCAGCCTTTTGGTTGTGGGAGATTTTAATCTGCCTTCGATCGGTGAGTCATCTGAGACAGTCCGGGAGTTCATGGCTTCCATGGCAGCCATGCACCTGACTCAGGTAATTCAGGGCCCAACTCATAGGGGAGGACACACACTCGACCTGGTTTTTCTCTCTGGGCAGTGGATAAATGGTCGTGGTAAGGGGGAACTTTCCATCACTCCCCTGTCATGGACTGACCATTCCCTCCTTAGACTGGACTTTCAGTCTGCCAACCCCTGCCGCCGGGAGACGGGACCCATAAAATGGTTCCGCCCCAGGTGCCTGATGGACCCAGAAAGGTTCTTGAAGGAGCTTGAGACATTCCCCACCTCTCAATCCTGCGATTCGGCTGAGGCTCTGGTGGCACCCTGGGAATGGGTGGCTACCGACGCCTTGGACAGAATCGCACCTTTGCGGCCTCTAACCCGACGCAGATCCCGGATTGCTCCTTGGTTTTCCATGGAGCTCCGGGAAATGAAACGTCGGAAAAGACACTTAGAGGAGAGTTGGAGGTCCTCCCGATCTGAATCTGACCGAACACAATTAAGAACCCATATTAGGTCTTATCTACTGCCGATGGAAGCAACGAAACGTCACTACTTCGCCGCCCTCATTGCATCTGCAGAAAACCGCCCAGCGGCCCTGTTTCGTGTGATCCGCTCCCTCCTCAATCAGGGAGCGAGGGAAGACCCTTTACAGGGCAGAGCTAAGGATTTTGTACAGTTTCTGCATGATAAAATCGCTCAGATCCAGATCGGATTGGACTCTGACTGGGCAGAATCCAATCGGGAGACTAGGGTGGGTCTTGGGAATAATATCTGGATTGAGTTTGACCCTGTTTCTGTCAAGGAAGTGGACAGGATTGTGGGCAAACTTAGTTCCTCCACTTGCTTATTGGACCCTTGTCCCTCCTGGTTGGTTTCGGCTGGCAGAGAGGTGACTAGAGACTGAATCCAGGCAATTGTCAACGCTTTGTTGAGAGAGGGGAACTTCCCCGCCTCTCTTTTATTTTTTATTTTTTTATTTTTTTATTGAAAAAGTTTTTCAAATACAGATTTTTCCCCCTTTTTTTCCCCTCCCTCCTCCCTAACCCCCCCTCACCCTCCCCTTCCCCTGTGACTTCTTCATAATAAAACCCAAATTCATAACAGATTATATCATACTTTACCATCCACTTACTCCATCTCCATATGCTGACCCTTTCTTTCTAATAAAATTATCATATCCCCCTTATGCTATACTATGCTGTACATTTCAAAGTGACATTCTATTATAACATTATCTAATAACTCCTAATTTAACATAATATTATTTTATCTCCCAATTTAGCGATTTCCGCTCATAATCTACCCTTTTACTACCCCCCATACGTATATCTCTTAAGTCAAATCTTTTGTATATATTAATATAACATTTCAAAACAACCTTCCACTATAAGACTATATAGTAAATCCTAATTTAACATTTATTCAGTTCAGCTACCCATTTCCTTCCCCCCCATCATTATATATCTTAGCTCAAATCTTTTACATATATTCACATCTAAACATAATATCCCTTTTCTTTAAACTAAACAATCAATAACCTAACCTATCTCCACCCACTTTCCTACAAAACTACCATATTAATATCTTTATTCTTCTGCCCACTCAACTAGAAAAATATTCCCTTATGTAAATAAAATTCTAAAAAAAAAAACCTTTAATCTTATAATCCATATAATATCTTCTGTAATGTCTTTCAATTAGATGATAAACTCCATCGCCCATGTTAGGGTAACATCGCATCCTAATTCCAACAGTATTTTCAATATCTGCAATCTTCAATTACCATCTGCTCCCATCCATAACCAATATCTTCATATTGCAAAAAAAAAAACACAACAACCACCCGAGTGACTTTATATTTATATTCCATATAATGTCTATAGAGGTGTCTTTTATCCAGATTATTAATTCCAACCACCATAATAGGGTAACAACCAGATCTTCTGCGTGCCCCAATCCAGTAAATCTCTTGCCATGTAACTCAGCATAAACGTAATATATTTATCAAGAAATCCCAAAAACGAAAAAGATATTTCCAATCCATTCGATTTAAGGCCCTTTTCACATCCCAAAAGTTCAGCACTGCAGAGATCTGTCACTCTCCTCAGGATAAAGTAAACCAATACTTTGCCCATTATCTTTTCATATATTCAGTCCTCTCATAAATAACTGGCATTACACTGTTGTTTATTTTAAAAATTTTTGTTTTTGTGAGACCTACTTCTTCTTTTCTTGACTTTTTGTGGGTTGGATCTCCATCCTGAATTCCTTTCTGTAGATTGTGTATCGACTA